AAATGCGAGAAAGAAAAGAAACCAAATACTAGCGTCTTCTTGGGTAGCCAGAAGACAGAGGAAATTGTCGCTTTGTTGCAAAAAAAGAACACGTGCCGCTGATTAGTTAAGAGGGAAGGCCACACGGGCGAGATAAAGAGGAGGCAGTCGTCACTTCCTCAGCTTGATAGTCTTCGGCCCCATGCCCCAGCCCATCAAAGGCATCATAAAATTATTTAACACTATCACTGCCACAAGTCTTTATTTTTATTTTGTTCATGATGATGGAGGTTTTTCCCAGCGCTTTGTTTCACAAAACAACATAATAGGTCAGTGAGATTCAAGTGGGTTGGTGTACACAGTTCTTCGCTATCCGGAAACTTCTATCCGGACTTTCCATTAGTGTGAGCTTGAAGCTCGTGACCAATGATCGTGCATATCTCGATTACGTGCGTCGACTTTGTGCTAAAAAAAAAAAAAAACGCAATAATTTCACCATGGTTATCTACTTTGGTTTATTTTGGCAAGCGTTTTCTGTATCTCGCAGTCTCTTTCGGCAGCTGATAAAATGCTACACAATTATTATCAGGGCGACGCGGGAAAATATTCCCAAGGCACTGACGTCATAACGCCGCATGCCAAAGAAAAAAAGCCAAAACAATTGAATGGCCATTAGACGGCATTTCCATGCCAGTGATTTCCGCTAGTCCAAGACAGGTGACTGAGGCAGAAGTCTAGGCCAAGTAGTCTTGGTCGGTAAATATTGGCAAGAGTCAATAGTTTATATTTTATGGTGGCACGTGTCGTGGCCAGAAACAAAAGCCTTAGCAAAAACCAAACAAAATTGAACAATAAATAATAAAGTGGTTGTAGAACTCTCAAAACCCGCCTATTTCTCATCAAAAGCTAGCCAGCTTTAAGCTTAAAATACTTTCTTACGTAGTGTAGTAACTCCTCAAGTTTCCTACTCAATGATAGTGGCTGGCCAAAAAAGGCTCCCAAACTCTGCCAAATTGGCAAAAAACCCCAACTGAACCCCAGCAGGGGCAGTGTTCCAGTCGGAGAAATGTGGACAGGTCAGCATATAACTCAAAACAAGCTGCACACGCGCTAAAAAGTTTCAGAAATAAATTAAATAAAACCCGAGAGAAGAAACACTGGTGATGGATAAGCAGAATACGATACTTTGTGTGCCCCCAGAGGGGCGACGGCCTCCGCACATTGTTGCTTCGGAATTTCGCGTAAACAACAAATCGCCAGACAGAGACCTGAAGACCTGCAGTCTAAAATAGGAGCGAAATGCGATTATCCATTGCTGGGCAGATCGAATCCTCTGAGGTTCTCACGGTCAGCAAAAGAGCAGGTGAAGTAGAGCAGCCCATGCGACATATAATGATAATAATGACCTCATAGAATCGCGATCAGCATTCAATATTGACGCAATGTTTTTGCCAGGGTTCCCGGCCATCTATGTGGGCGTGCATTATGTGGCGTGTGCATCCATTTGTTTGCCCACGAGTGCCTACGTCCGCTTCTGTTTACCCTCGACATGGGAACAGATGGCCAGAATCAATGGGGTTGGCACGGCCACGGGCACGGGTACTGGGTGGTACGTTTACAAGTATCGCTACTTTCTATGGATCCACGAGCATCAGGGCGAAATGTGATACGGGAACATAGACAGAAACATGAAGTGAAGGCCGGACAGAGGAGGCTGTGCGTGCGTCCAACGTGACGTATGAGTGATGCCCGGAATGCCTTGAATCATAAACACGCGCAGCTTGTGTGATATCGTCTTCTGATTGCGTACTTTCTGAATATTAAAAATACACTTTTGGGTATTTTTTCCTGCTCTTTTTTGGCACTAGTTATCAAGGGGGTAAAACCATTTGTGACTCGTGTTTCGGGCAAAACCCTGTTACTCAACAGGATTTTTGTGGAAATAATGGGTTTCTAATAGTGTGGCTAATCTTTATGAAATAATTACAAGTTCTGGGTAATTGATATTTATGTATATTTAAGAACACACACACACTGAAAGAGTGAAAACAAGCCATTGCCTAAAATAGTGCCCAGCCACAAATAGAAATTGCAAAAACACAGACAGAACCAGAAATGTTCATTGAAATGCCTTTTCCTGGTCTGGTCTATTCGCGTCTGTGAATGTTTGGCCAAGAAAATTCAAACTGCAATAAACTTGAGATCCGAGAAACAATAAACAAACAAACGCTGAAAATTGCAAACAAGCCCAGCAAGAGAAAAAAAAGATACAATTTATGCAAATATCGCAGGCGTGGGTCTCGATTATAGTTCAGTAGTGTTTGATTTTCCTCATTTCGCGATTGCGTCAAATGCTTTCGAATGGCGTTCACGTGCGGTCAAGTGATCGCTTCATGTGCCAGTCACCGGTTTGTAGACTTGGACCGATCGCCACTCCCCCCGTCACTAGACACCGGTCTTTTGCGGGATCTGGCGGAGCCACCCACAAAGCCGCGAAAGCCCAAATGAGTTGAGCAAATGTTTTCGATAAAATTTCGATCTAATTTCTGGTCTGGTGCTTGGTGCTTGGCTCGGAAGTGATTCAAAGTTAGGAATGCGTGAGACTTAATCTTCGAAGACTTGAAAGACCTCTTAGAAGACTCAATTAGCAGGTGACAAATTAGAAACTATTGGAAAGATTTATGCCAGCGTGCCAGCGTCCCCGTTCATTAGTTTTAAACGCTGATTGCGAATCAAAATATTCCATCCCAGCGGCGGACTTGGAGGAAGCGCGTGCCCGACTCACGCTCCACAATGATGAGCAACGGGGCTACAAAGGGGGGTTTTTTTGGGAAGGGGGCTAGGCCTCTGGCTTGCCTCTAGGGAAGGCGCATGATCGTCAGTCTCGACACACGCCCGAAGTTCTTTCACCCCACGACTGGCTTTTAGTTTCAAATTGTAGTTTCGCCGATCGCTGCGATGTCGGGAGGTATTCAATGTCAGCGCCAGCAGGCGGCGCGATAAGGCCCCAGCGTTGATAAGAAACGGGCCCCAGCAAGTGGCTTAGTGGAAAGAGAAAGAGAATGAGCCCCAATAGGGGGCATTCTTCGTAATATTTTCGGTGTCGGTGTGTGACTTTGTGGCGAGGCCTGCATGGGTGCACGACTCACATGATTTCATTCATGCTATCACCATCGCAGCTATCATTCCGCTTTATTCCGCTTCTGATCACGCTTTCGCTGATTATTCAGATGCAGCAGCAATAACATGTTTATATGTAGAATTCTATTTCCGTTCACCGTCGAGTGTCGATTATTTAATAAATACACTTTGTTTATTTTTTTTTTTGCTAATCTTATGGCGAGTTTTTTGTCGACTGCACCTGTCCAGAAATATTTATATGAGCTCTTGGGGTGTATGCATATCTTTCGGGTGGGGAATGTTAGGCCCTGATAATCGCTGGATCAAGGTTTGTCGAGTGATAGGGACTATTTTTAGTGGAGTGCTGTAGCTATTGATTGAGTAAGCAAGTAGGATAGAATATCATCATTGTTAATAATAATAGAAGGATACATCACATCTTATGTTTATTTTGTGATGATTTCAAGACGTCTCTTGGCACGCTTGTGTCAACCAAACCCCTCTATATACTCCCATCTTCTAGCATCTCTGACCGTTTCGGATTCTTGAGTTTCAATTGCTGCTGCCCGCTCAGCTGTTGTCCGCTGTTTACGTTATTAACACAACAAACAACCACTTAGCTTCGGATATGATTTCGAGCACTTGGCTTTCGGTTCAGTGGTTTTAAAAATAAACATCAAAGCGAGAGACGGCAAGTACATAGGGTAAGTAAGCGGCCAGCAAAGTGGCCAAAAATAAATATCTAATAGCTATTTTTAGGCCATAAAAACCCGTATCCGCTCCACCAATTGATCAGATACAAATGGGAGTTTCTTTGTGCGGATCGGATGGGATTGGCACAAGTCGTATTCGATTTTATTTTTGTACTTCAATTGGCCCGCTTTTGGTTTGAAATCTTTGAAGCTTTAGTTCTATATCGAGAACAGCAGATACCAATAGCGAATTATTTCCGGCGTAATTATGGCATCAATTGCGTAGTTTACGACCCCAAAAATGACAGCAACAACGCCAATATTTACCGCAATAAAATATTAACATTGATGCATCGCAGCTTAATCAGCAACTACTCATTCCAATCACTCGTGCTTCGCAGTTTCGACTTTCTATATTTAGGCCCGCAGCTCGTGGGCAATTAGCCAATCGAATGCGTAGTTCTAACATCGCATATGGCTCCCCGAGTGCACGCTGTGTGGCGGGACATGTAAATAGAATCAAACATGCTGGGTTAGTGATCAAAACAAGCAATAAATATTAAAGACTATACTGTTTACAGTCACTTGCTTTCCTGAGAACTGTTTCTTACCTGAGAACTACTATGAACACTATATGCGGTATTTCGTATCAAGACATTCATGGAATCTAAGCTGAAAGACACATTGTAGTGCGGTATAGTTTACTTTTCTTTGAAGTGCGCCGAGTGACGTGCTATAATTCCACATCAATTATTTTTTTTTTGTAATAGCAGGGTAATGTTTATTTAAAACTGTCCATTAGGGACAACCATTAAATTTTATCACGTAAACTTCACGTATAGATATTTTTAAATATTAATATGGTAGAAAAAAAAAAATTAGAGTAGTAAGGGGAGGTCCAGCGGGTGTGTCCTTTTAAGTCTTCTGGGTTGCTCGCTGCTGTCCAGCAGGGAGCTGGCCAACCGGTTCGGGTGATTATGAAGCCTCTGCATGTAACGTGCGCTGCTTCTTTGTATCTCGTCCTTGACCCAAGGGAAATTGAGAACCTCGTGGATGGTGCGATTGTCATGATAGACGTGGGCCCCAGTGGCGATTCGAAGGACTCTATTTTCGAAAGCTTGCATAGTTCGGACATTCGTCTTGCACATCAATTATGAGACACTAAGCCAACAAATAACTGGCGCCATCGGAGAACTTACAGATATGTGGTGATTTTGAAAAAAATGTAACATTTATTGATCAGAAACACATTTTCCAAAAAATTTCAATTCTAACGGCGACGACCAGCTCCATTCTCAGCTTCAGCCTTGGCGGAGGCACTCATATCGCCACCTGCTCCAATACCGGCCGACATCCCAGCCCCGGGGCCGCCCTCAGCCACATCCGCTGCCCCATCGCCATGTGCTCCGATCTGACCGCCGGCACCTGCGGCAGCTCCTACGCCTCCTTTGGCCGCATCCATGGCATTGTTGGGGCCCGGAACTTGAGCCTCAGTAAGGCACTAACGGATTAATAAATTACCATTATTTTCAGGACACAAACCGCCTTAAGCTCTCACCAATATCACAGCGAAGAAAAGCGCGAACACAATAGCCAATTTCATAGTGGAGATAAGCACCAACCAATGCAAGTTAAAACAATAAAATATATGGCTTAATAAAATGGCTTATATAGGGATGATCAGGTATACGAATTTCCTGAAAAACATACATTCCATGTGCTATCCAAACCGAAATCTCAATCAGCCCTCGACATTGTTAGCTTCGACATCCCTCTGATAGCATCTGTCATGGAACGACTTTGTTGTTGGGGAATGTTTTACAATTTATTAATAAATTTTATTGTTGACAATCGTTTAATTGCTCCCGTGCCCCGTGCATGCTCCTGGCGTGACTCTATTCATAAATATCTAAATAATTAACCAGCCAGTTCGGTCCAGTTGGGTCTTTATCATTAGACTTGTTTGTCTACGAATGTAGTGGGTTTGATGGGAAAGCTATTAAGTCATTTTGAGTAAAGCACAAGGTCGAGAATTAGAAAATCAATATGAAATAAAGCAACCTAATCAATGTAAGTTCGTAGATTTGTCTGATTTTTACGAGAACTCTAGTTCAATGTAGTGGATAGCCGACGGATACAGTAAAATTTCAGACAAAAGATTTTCTTAAAATTATACAGATTGGTGGAGAATCGATCTACAAATCTTTTAAGGTATGCCGCTCAAGAATCGGGTGCGTTTTGGCTAAGATATGGCGTTTGCCAGGGGTCATAGTAGCCATAGTAGTAGCCATACTACCATTTTTGAAGGGCATCCCCCAGAAAATATGACGAAAATTGGGAAAAAAATTTTGCAAGTAGGTTTTGATACAGATTGGTTCTGAATCGATCTACAAATCGTTTAAGGTATACCGCTCAAGAATCGGATCCGTTTTGGCCAAGATATGCCGTTTGCCAAGGGTCATACCAGCCGTGCCATTATTTTTGAAGGGGAACCCCCAGAAAATTTGACGAAAATTGGAAAAAAAAATTTGCAAGTAAGTTTTTGATGCAGAATCGATCTACAAATCTTTTAAGGTATGCCGCTCAAGAATCGGGTGCGTTTCGGCTAAGATATGGCGTTTGCCAGGGGTCATAATAGCAGTGCCCTTACATTTTTTGTGGGGATCCCCCAACATTGCAGTTTAGTGAAGATTTATTATGTGGCAATTGTTCAGATTTGTTATGTTAGGCTAATTTAACTTTATCAGTGAATGTAGCGAGCTCATGCCTTTCTTCCTATCAACTGTCAAAATTCTAAGAAAAAAATAAAAGTGACTATTCGAAATCGTTCTTTTATGTGCTTTGTAATAAATTAATCTAACTAATAATAATCTAAATTTCCATGGAATACTAAAAATAAGAAATAATCCCGAGAAAAGGAATTACTACACATACATATGTACATCTAAGTGGTTAATTTCAATTGAATTTCCAAAATATTGAAATGGAAATTACTCATGGCCCGTCTTGTGGCGAACATCGTATAATCGCCTACGGAGCCGCCTGTATCAGGCGGCGTATCATGCTTATTTTGCGGTTTATTTTCTGAGAAAATTTGACGCGTACGTGTGACATATTTTCTGGAGGCGCCGCCGATAAGGCGCTTCAGACGACAGCAATAACAAACTGAAAACCAAACAAAAACACCAAGGGGAGCGACAACCAGGCAATGGCAATGGGAATGGCACCGGGCAGGAGAATCAGCAACAGCGGCAACAACCAATTGCAAGACAATTCTACAGATACAGATTATAGAGCTGACAGTTTTCGTAGGTATTCGAGTTGGTGTGGCTGCCGCCAGAACCGCCGCCACTTTGGCATTCAAAGCATCGTCGTTGCCTTCGGCTCGACATCGAGGCGTACCTACATATGTATGTAGCTTCTCATCAAAACAATGTTCTATGTAAATAATTTCAGCGAATTCCAATGAAACGCGAATTGAGACTAATTAAGGCCAGACTCAACCTACATTTTTACAAAGTACTCCTCCCAAAGTTCCCCTGTATACATTTATTTTTTTAGGCCTATTAAGTCTGAATATCCTGAGTCTAGTGTGGGCAGCCAGCAATCGATATGGTCAGATTTAAGAGGACTGGGGTGACTGGGTCCTCGCTGAAGGTCGACCACTATGTCCCACGCTGTTTTGACGGATAATTAAATTGGCCCCCACTACCTCAACTAGGCATTCGACAATTCGCTTGTGGGCAGACTAATTGACCCTGTCAAGAGCAGATGAGAGGTTGAAGCCTGGTTTATAATAGGAAGTAGGCAATAGCTCCTACCAAAGATATATCAGTAATGTTTGATTAATAAATCGCAATAAATAAATACCTCTATCAGATTGCATAACTTGCTGTTGATCGGTGAAGCCCTCGATCCTCTGGATCGGTCCCTTTTCAGGGCCCCCACGCCAGGCCCTTGCCCCACACCCCACTCCCGGCTGCCACCAGTCTGCCCTGTCTAGACACTTTTAATTTGCGTAATCAAAACACAAAGAGCGACAGCGACTGACAATGGGAGACAAAACAAAAACAGAAACCAGCGAAAAGAAAAACAAAACCCCAATAAAAATTCGCCCTAACCCGGTGGAAAAAATAAAAAATTAAATATTGTGGAGCAGAACAACAAAAAATGTATCGCATAAATAATGCAAAACAAGAAAGCAAAGCTAACTTCGGGCGGAGCCGAAGTTTATATACCCTTGCAGCTATAACCGGATATATATCGCAAACATCGGATATAGTTGGCCGATCCTTATGATTACATCATAATAAAACCAATTAATTACAATAAAGAATCTAAAAAAAAGTCCCAAGCTTCTATCTTCAAAAATTCGAAAGTTGATATTTCTACCAAATACCATTTCCGATCGTTCAGTTATATGTCAGCTATAAGATATAGTCAACCGATCGTTATGAAATTTGGTAGATCGGATTGACTGACCAAAAATAGAATGTGTACCAAGTGCCAGCTTTCTATCTTCAAAAACACGAATGTTGGGTCATTTCCGATCGTTCAGTTATATGGCAGCTATAGGATATAGTCGGCCGATCCTAATGAAATTTTGTAGGTCGGATTAACTGGCCAAAAATATAATCTGTACCAAGTTCCAGCTTTCTATCTTCAAAAACACGAAAGTTGGGTCATTTCCGATCGTTCAGTTATATGGCAGCTATAAGATATAGTCGGCCGATCCTTATGAAATTTGGCATGTCGTATTATTTTGCCAAAAATAGCTCTCATGTCAAATTTGAACTCTCTAACTCTAAAAACACCAAAGTTATACCATTTCCGATCAATCAGTTATATGGCAGCTATAGGATATAGTCGGCCGATCCCGGCCGTTCCGACTTATATACTGCGTGCAAAGGAAAGAAGGGTGTGTGCAAAGTTTCAAGACGATAGCTTTAAAACTGAGAGACTAGTTTGCGTAGAAACAGACAGACGGACAGACGGACAGACGGACAGACGGACATGCTCATATCAACTCAGGAGGTGATCCTGATCAAGAATATATATACTTTATAGGGTCGGAGATGTCTCCTTCACTGCGTTGCACACTTTTGGACAAAATTATAATACCCTCTGCAAGGGTATAAAAAGAGCAGTCACTCAAGACTCAAGTACGACAACAACACAATTACAAATTAAAATGTGCGAAAAATGCCGCCCAATTCAAGAATCCGTTCCGTAACCCAATTGCAAACATCAATAATAAATATTAAATAAACAATCAGGTGACACTAACCTATTAACCTTTTTATTAAAAAAATCTACATTTTTCTAAATTTTAAAACCCAAAACATTACTAAGTAATACCTTTCTTTCTAAATTTAAGCAACCCCATTAGAATATTATATAGAAGCCGAAGCAGACATTAATTTCTCACCGAAAGTGGCCTTGAACCCACAGCCCAGTTTGAGTCTGTGGTTCAAAGAACTCTGTGATTAAGTGCTCCATCTAGTCAAGTCAAAACATTACCTCGAGACAACAAACCAACAATTATCGTTAATCAAATGTGGCTTGCATAAGGAATTTTTAAGCTAGAAGTGCTTATAGGCCAAAAAGTTTAAAAATAAATATCCCAATGCTCCCAATTTATTCGTTGCAATACCGATCTCTGCGTTGCAGGCTAATACGTTGAACGGTGGACCCGTTTTCTTAAGCCCGAAATCCGGATTTGGAATTAACCTTCTCTCTAAATTCGGTTAAATGTATCATAGTATTTGCATGCAAAGGAAAGAAGGGTGTGTGCAAAGTTTCAAGACGATAGCTTTAAAACTGAGAGACTAGTTTGCGTAGAAACAGACAGACGGACAGACGGACAGACGGACAGACGGACAGACGGACAGACGGACATGCTCATATCAACTCAGGAGGTGATCCTGATCAAGAATATATATACTTTATAGGGTCGGAGATGTCTCCTTCACTGCGTTGCACACTTTTGGACAAAATTATAATACCCTCTGCAAGGGTATAAAAAGAGCAGTCACTCAAGACTCAAGTACGACAACAACACAATTACAAATTAAAATGTGCGAAAAATGCCGCCCAATTCAAGAATCCGTTCCGTAACCCAATTGCAAACATCAATAATAAATATTAAATAAACAATCAGGTGACACTAACCTATTAACCTTTTTATTAAAAAAATCTACATTTTTCTAAATTTTAAAACCCAAAACATTACTAAGTAATACCTTTCTTTCTAAATTTAAGCAACCCCATTAGAATATTATATAGAAGCCGAAGCAGACATTAATTTCTCACCGAAAGTGGCCTTGAACCCACAGCCCAGTTTGAGTCTGTGGTTCAAAGAACTCTGTGATTAAGTGCTCCATCTAGTCAAGTCAAAACATTACCTCGAGACAACAAACCAACAATTATCGTTAATCAAATGTGGCTTGCATAAGGAATTTTTAAGCTAGAAGTGCTTATAGGCCAAAAAGTTTAAAAATAAATATCCCAATGCTCCCAATTTATTCGTTGCAATACCGATCTCTGCGTTGCAGGCTAATACGTTGAACGGTGGACCCGTTTTCTTAAGCCCGAAATCCGGATTTGGAATTAACCTTCTCTCTAAATTCGGTTAAATGTATCATAGTATTTGCATGCAAAGGAAAGAAGGGTGTGTGCAAAGTTTCAAGACGATAGCTTTAAAACTGAGAGACTAGTTTGCGTAGAAACAGACAGACGGACAGACGGACAGACGGACAGACGGACATG